CTCCAATCGTTTATTTTAGACACTGATCTCCTCTAGGAAGAAACCTGGTGGTTCACTGGGCTAATTGGGACCTTCAAACATTTTCTCCTTTCCTGGATTCTTGCCTGTAGCCCATTCTGCCTCTATGAGGTCTTTCGATGGCTCTAACTTCCTGCTTGGCGTTTCCTCTGACATCCCTGTCTGACCCCATATAGCCCTTCCTAATCAGATCCAGCCAGCTGAGCTTACCACAGGTGGATCCATAAAAGCTGTAGAAAAAAGGAGTAAAAACAGGATGGAAATCATTTTTTTAAGAAAAAGCATATTTAGAGGAGGGAGAGCAACTCCAAAAAGATTAGAAACGTTGAAATGGTCACTGACATTATGATGTCACCTTTACTATTTCATCTAACATTTAGTCTTTTTCTACATCTCTCTCATTTTCCCATAATCTCTCCTTTCCTCTCATTTCTGTCTGTCTTTCCATCCACACCTGCCTCCTATTCCTACTTAGTTGATTTATGACCTTGGAGTGTCATTCCGGCTCATCATGTGGGTGTGGACAGGTATGGCCTGCACTGTCTTCCTCAACTGCTTCCTGAATTGGCCGGGTGAATCCTTCCCGGCACCAGAAGACATCAGATACACGTTAGTGTTCATTCCTCTGACTTGATGTTAATTAACTAAGCTACTCAACAGAACTGTTTACTTATAATTAATTAGGCAATCATTGTTCCCGTTTCAGAAAACAGTTTAAACCCAACATGGTTCTATTTCCATTTCCATTTCCATTTTATGTAATTTTCAGCTTTAGTGAAAGGTACCATCAAATATTCCATTTACCATCTAATCACCCTCTAACCATTAGCTGTTATTTTGTCCCATTCTTCCTGTGACCACATTAAAATATCTCTAACAATATTATCGCACTTTGATTGTTTCTGCCTAGAAACAGACAATACTGCAGACAGGCAAGTCCAGCAGCTCACTTCATCTTCCTTATCTTTGAAAATATTGCTTTAAAATCAAGGCAGTAGTTCGCTGCATTCATGAGCACACAATAAATACATGTTGGATTTATCTACCTCAATAGGCCCTCGTTGCTTAGAGAATGTACCTTATATTACCTTGATCTAATCTCAATGAATTTTTTTCAGTGTCTCTAGATCAGACCCTTAAAGGCAACAAACAGGAAACTCAAAGAGAGGAAGTGTTTAGAGGAAGGACTCAAAGGAAAATGTTATTTTTTCCTTCCCTCTAAATGTCCTCTTGGCACGCAGTTTTTTATGGTTTTTCTAAGGGTCTGGTCCACAGACATTCATTTGAAGGAATCCAAAGACAAACAAGAAGCAGAGGCCTCATAGACCTCTATGTGTTTTAGTGATGTTGATCCGTGGAGCCGCCATCATGGGCGGGACTATCTAGCAGGCTCAGTAGATCACTGCATTCACTCAATCACTACTGATTATTGGAATTTTCACACTTTTTGTGCTGCCAACCTTCCAGAAACAGCCACCAGCAGAAAACCATCCCACTCCAATAGCTTCATTAATGGAAGCTCCTGTCCATAGGTGAACACTCTTAGGTGCAGGAGAGAAGTTATTTATCTCTAATTCACTGGAGCGAAGGAACGCTGAGAGAGGTGCTGATGGGCACAGGAAGCATAAGGTGGGCAGGTGTTCATTAAAGCAACTATGACGTCTGAGGCAAACGTTCTTCTGATTTCCACATTGCACCCTGGAGGGAGATTTTATCTACAATGGTTACATCAACTCTGTTTTAACGTAGCACTTCAACATCGTGTCACTTTTCCACAACACAGACTCAGAATATGCTGAACTTTATTTTTTCACTGTTGGTTCATAAACAAGCATATCCAGGTTTTAGAATGGCCTAGTCAAAGCCCAGACCTGAATTTATTCAAGAATCTGAGTAAAGAAATGTAAACTGCTAATCATAAACTCTCCATCCACTCTTCTCTCTCAAACTCTCCTCACAACCTCAGCTGTTTGCAGGAAAAATGGGCAAGAATTTCAGAATCTCAATGTGCAAAACTGATAGAGACATACCCCAAGTGACCTGCAGGTGGAATCGCAGTAAAAAGTGGCGCTAAAAAGTATTAACTCAAGGGATCTGAATAATATTGCACAACATTTTTTTTAGTTTTTAATCTGGTACAAGTTTAAAACTTCCAATAAATTTTGTTCCACGTCATGGTTGCATTCCACTTGTTTATTCTTGTAAGGTTTGCACTACAGATGCAGAATCTGGTGGAGAGTCAAAATGTTGCAGACTTAAAATGGGCAATGAGGCCCAGAAAACACACCGAAAGAGAAAAAAACATCAGGCTGGATCCAAAAATTGTAGAACTCTGTTTTTTATATATACACTGCTCAAAAAAATTAAAGGAACACTTTAAAAACATATCAGATCTCAATAGGGCAAAAAAAAAATCATGCTGTTTATTTCTACTGATATGGACTGGGTGATGTGTTAGGAACAAAAGGATGCCACATCATTTGATGGAAATTGAAATTATCAACCTACAGAGGGCTGAATTCAAAGAAACCCCAAAAATTACAGTGAAAAAATGATGCAGCAGACTAGTCCATTTTGCTGACATTTCATTGCAGCAACTCAAAATGGTATTCAGTTATTTGTATGGCCCCCCACGTACGTATATGCATGCCTGACAATGTCAGGGCATGCTCCTGGAAACATAATGTCCCAGAGGTGTTCTATTGGATTTAGGTCAGGTGAGCGTGGCGGCCAATCAATGGTATCAATTCCTTCATCCTCCAGGAACTGCTTGCATACTCTCGCCACATGAGGCCGGGCATTGTTGTGCACCAGGAGGCACCCAGGACCCACTGCACCAGCATAGGATCTGACAATGGGTGCAAGGATTTCATCCCGATACCTAATGGCAGTCAGGGTGCCGTTGCCTAGCCTGTATAGGTTTGTGCGTCCCTCCATGGATATACCTCCCCAGACCATCACTGACCCACCACCAAACCGGTCATGCTGAACGATGTTAAAGGCAGCATAACATTCTCCACGGCTTCTCCAGACCCTTTCACGTCTGTCACATGTGCTCAGGGTGAACCTGCTCTCATCTGTGAAAAGCACAGGGCGCCAGTAACAGACTTGCCAATTGTGTTCTGTGGCAAATGCCAATCGAGCTCCACGGTGCCGGGCAGTGAGCACTGGACCTACTAGAGGACGTTGGGCCTTCATGAAGTCTGTTTCTGATTGTTTGGTCAGAGACATTCACACCAGTGGCCTGCTGGAGGTCATTCTGTAGGGCTCTGGCAGTGCTCCTCCTGCTCCTCCTTGCACAAAGGAGCAGATAACGGTCCTGCTGATGGGTTGTAGACCTTCTATGGCCCTGTCCAGCTCTCCTGGAGTAACTGCCTGTCTCCTGGAATCTCCTCCATGCTATTGAGATTGTGCTGGGAGACACAGCAAACCTTCTGGCAATGGCACGTATTGATGTACCATCCTGGAGGAGTTGGACTGCCTGTGCAACCTCTGTGGGGTCCAGGTAGCGCCTCATGCTAACAGTAGTGACAGTGACCCTAGCCAAATACAAAAAGAGTCAGAAAAGATGAGGCTGATTGGAAACACCAGGTCCTTGTCAGGACTGCTCATGGGCGCACTTCCATGGCAACACCTGACCAGGTATCTTCAAAGAAAAAGAGAGTGGTCAAAACAAAATATACGGTATAAGTTACATCAATAAAGACAAAGTCTGAACCCTTCGCCCAATAACTCCATTTTTCTAAAAAGACAAGAAAGGCCTTTTTACAGCACCATTTAGCGAGGGGGTAAATTTTTTAATTTAAATTTTAGATCTTTATGTTTCAAGCCTGAATTGTCCAAAGTTTGAGATGTTAAAGGGGCCCAATAGTTTCACAACTGTAAATGAAACTTTCAAACTTCATCATTGAAGTCACAAAGATCTAATTGCTGTGATTTTACTCCTATTTATTTAGCAGTGTTAGCTACTGGAACATAATCCTTTACTTTACATATCTTTGACGTGGCAGGCCAGATTTGGCCTGCTTGTCTTGAGTTTGACACATGAACATGAAGTTATTGAAGACAGAAGCCAAGCTGATGCCTCCTTCCAACATGGTTGTCATCTAAACAGAGCCCCTGCCCTGATGAAGCTACCATGGCATGTAAAGACAGAGAAAACATAAAGTTAGAGGTTGCTGATGAAGGTTCTCAGTCATCCAGGTCAAAGTCATTCCGTAAAAATTCAGAAAATATCCACTGGACTTGGTTTTCAAAATTTGAAGACGTTTCTCCACCTCTCCAGGAAGCTTTCTCAATTCAAATGTTTGGATCCGCAGTGAGTTTGAGTCTTATATGGACAAGGCCTTGTATTGCTTGGAAACATGCAAATGGTAACCGATGAATGGGTCGTTTTAGTTCCATCGTTAGCCTGTAATATCTGAACCTGTCTATGATTCTAGGGGTCGGTCGTTAAACGGGGGGATTGCCATTAAGGGGGGATTGTCTCCTCTGGAGGAACAGAGGAACGAGGGACCTACCCGCTCCAGCCGGTGAACAATACCTCCTTAACGACCGACTCTTAACAATCATAGACAGGTTTCAGGTATTACAGGAGACAATCCCTAATTGTGTCTCTGCTTAAAAACAGATTTATGAACCTTGTCTACCAATATAATGATGCCTGAGAAAATCATTTTCAAGATATATAGTAGCTCTGCAGTCTGATTCTCCTTTCAATAAGAAAACAAAAGATATGTCCTTCCATCAATTTTCTGACACGCTTAATCCCAAGTGGGGACATGTCCATTCCAGTCCTTCAGAAAGTTACGCCAGTGCTTCAGATTGAGAGCAAACATTAGGAACATAAGGAACAATCAGATCTCTGATATCTATCTATGTATCTGGTTTAGTATATACTTTCACACCAATAAGGTCATTGTGTGTCATTGGGGCCATAAAGGAGGCATGGTAGAATGACAGACAGTGGAAGTCTGTCACCATTTCAACATATTTTACTCTCAGAACTAACAGCAGTAATAACATTAATATTTTTTAATGTAATTCTTTGTACATTAAACAAAAGTAAAAAAAAACAACATTAGTGAAGTTGGATGTTGTGTCAAAACAAAAGATTTAGTTTAGCTCCATTAAAATAAACCTCTGTTCATCAGTGTGAAAGCCTGAGGCGCGGATCGCTGACCTGTGGTGATCGGTGAGGTCATTAGAGGACCAGGTCACTGGTTAGATAAAAGTTCACATTTTTTTATACCTCTCAACAGTAAAATGAATAGTGATGAAGATAGGACGGCTGGGGACAAGTACGTCAACAATTTGATGATTGCAGAGGGAACGACGGGAGACAAATGGCCTGAATCAGAGCAAGAAGAGTCCCAAAGCACGACCAAAGGTACAGCCTTGTTCTCTGGTGTTGTATTCAGCCTTGTTCATGCATGTATGCTGTTTACCCATAAAGAAGTGCATGCAACCATTGATATTTATGAAAGAACAGTGTGATGGTACCATTCAAATGTCTTTGGAATGATTTATCTCCGCAGTCTGCTGCCTACAATAAAGAAAGGATCACATATAGGCTTTCTATGTATGAAGGTGCTTAGATCAAGATGCCAAACGACTCAGCATTGGATCTTAAAGGGACACATTATTAGAATTTAATGCCAATTGAATATGCTAATGATAAATCAGCTTTTTATCGCCAGTAGGTCTGTTGCTTTGCTTTAAGGGTAGTGACAGATGCATGGAGGAGATCTGAGAGAGATGAGTCGGTCAGGCGGCGATTGACAGAGGAGATCTCCAATGTTTACAGAGTATAAGATGTTAATCTCCATCATCTAACCCGCTAATAATGGGTCCGTAACTCAAACAGCTGATGTTGAGATTTATCCTAGAACTCGAGGACAAATTTTGGCGTTTAGATCTGACTTTTCTTTGTCATCGGAGGGAAACTTTTGTAGTTTAAACTGTTTTTCATCCCCTGGAATTTATGCTGCCATTTAATTCAATGCCTACACACTGTTTGAAACATAAAAGGCTGCAGATTGTATGGTAGACTTAATCATTCTAAGTCCTACTGACATTGTTTCCACTAATAAGGGTGAATAAATGAATCAGCTTTAATGCTCCATCTTCTAGAGTAAACAATAGCATTTTGGTGTTTTTATTCGAGCCTTGGTGAAAACACATTCTGTGCAGCAAATCCCATTTTAAACTGTTCTTACTTAATAACTCTGACCACTCTTATCTCAAAATAAATGCATTATCTCTCTACACTTCAGAAACGATCTAGAAATAAGTCAAAATGTCTTAAATTAACTGTATTTACCCTCAATTTGAGTCGGTAAATAAGATGATTTGCCAATGGAATGAGGATTTTTACCCCTAAAATAAGGTAATTAGACAATATACACTTGAAATAAGACAAATTAATTGTTTTTTTCGTATGTTAAATGTAAATTGTCTTCTTCCATTGGCAAAGTGTCTCACTTACCTCCTCAATTCAAGAAAAAATGCACTTATTTTAGGAAAAAAATGACTTATGTATATTTCCATGTTTTCCAGTGTACAGTACTGTCCGTATCCGGTCTCAGAGCTGATTCTGCGTAGTTCCTGGAATCAGACCATTTCAGATCTGAACTCGTGTTTGTTTCCCTGTTTGCCGTTCAGCTGCGGTGCCAATCTGTCACTCTGTCTGCTCTCCCATCTTCCTGTGGAGTGTCGTCGCCATGGCAATCACCCAGCTGAGGCTGATCTTCTTCATGGGAGCCATGAACAAGATGCTGGAGTTCCTGGTTACTCATGGTGACCCGAACGGTAGGTGTAAAACATGCATAACATCATGTGTTACAGGTCACATGTCTCTGTTCTATTGGTAAAGCTTAGCAGCTGCTGTGTCTTTCAGCTTCAGAGGAGCTACAGAGGGAGGCCGAGGAGCAAGGTAACTGTAACATGGAGCCAGTCCAGATTGAGTCTCCCTCCCATCCATTTATTTTCATCAATCTGAACTGATTCACTCTGCATGTCTCTGCAGTTGGTTTCTACTCATCCATCTTTGGTTCAACGCAGCTTCTGTGTCTGCTGACATGTCCTTTGATTGGATACATGATGGACTGGAAGATGAAAGAGTGTGAAGAGGAGAATCCCAGCCAACTAAAAACCAAGAGGTAGGAAAATATTGATTGGTTTGTCTAATCAAACAGGAAGTGGGATGATCAGTCTTTGTTTCAGTCCTTCCTTCAGGAACACTGGGACCCATGTAGCATAAAGAATGACAACATTAGATTATCAGAACTTATGACAATTGTTCCCTCAGCGTCTCAGAGCCCCCAATCAGAGACAGAAAGGTCCAGAAGCTGACCAACGCCATCAGAGCCTTCGTCTTTACCAACTTCCTTCTGGTCATGTTTGGAGTCATTTCCTTAATTGACAACTTGCCCATACAGGTTAGGAAAAAAAGCATCTAATGTAACTCGTCATGTTTTCCATTAAATTACATAGAGTCTTTGTACAGCAAATAAAAAGTAAATACTGTCAGTACTCTAAAAACTGTCCTGCTCTCTGGTCACATTTACCAGGTGGTGTCGTTTGTTCTTCACACCATAGTGAGAGGATTCATCCACTCCTGCTGTGGAGGCCTCTATGCTGCAGTGTGAGTAACACCATTAATTAGTGCTACGTTCACTCCACACACACTTTGATCAGCAGAAGCAATCGCTTTAGATGCAAATTCAATGGTTGACGTGCATCTTGGCGCAGGAAAAGGTCCTGAACCGTGTTTTAACAAGCAGGAGCAGCGCCTCATGAGCTTCTGAGCATCTGATGCACTTCACAGGCAGCAGCTACTGGTGTTTGAAAAATTGAGCCTTTGCTGTTGGACGCACCACATCAACCAATCAGGGAAGCTGATCTGGGAGCTGGCAGGGAAACACTGCTGATGTAGAGTGCTATGATCACTACTTTGAAACAGTTTATTAATGCCTAAATTAACTTAAGATGTAGAAACCTGCTGGCAGAATATCCATCCATCCATGTTCTGGCACACTTAATCCCAAGTTGGGTCACTAGGGGTGCTGGTGACTATCTCCAGGTGTCTACGGGTGAGAGGCAGGGTACACCGGTCAGTTCAGGTCGCCGGTCCATCGCTGGGCAAAACAGAGACAAATAACCATCACACACACATATACCTAAGGAGAGTTTAGAGAAGCCAAATCGCCTAACAGTCATGTTTTTGGACTGTGGGAGGAAGCAGGAGTACCCAGAGAGAACCCATGCATGCTCAGGGAGAACATGCAGAAACTCCATGCAGAAAGACCCCGCAACCCAGAACCTTCTTATTGCAAAACATCAGTGCTACCCACTGCACCACTGAGCAGCCCCGCAGCTCACCACAGAGAAATAATATTTGAAAGCAGGATGGTAATCTGGATGAACTGACTGCAGGTGGACTTTCTCATTTCAAAACATGTTCAAACTCCTTTTTACCCAGAGATCACAGCAAATACAGCAAAGCTGCTCTCTGCCATTGAACACAGGAGCAGCAGAAGCATCAGATGTGTCTGGACACACTTTACTGCTCGTTGACCTTAATGTGAACGAGCATCAGAGCTGAAGCAACAGAAACTTTTTGGCTGCTCAAAGCACGCCTGTTGTAGACATAGCCTAAGATTCTGACTAAAAACTTATTGGATTATGAAGGAACTAACATCTTATCTTCAATTTTTTTCTGCTTTCATACATTGTTATTTTGAATTAAATTGTATTACTGGGGAAGAGCCCGCTACTAATTTCTGTCCTTCTCCATCCCAGGTATCCCACTAACCACTTCGGCACTTTGACAGGATTCCAGTCCACCATCAGCGCTGCTTTTGCTTTACTCCAGCAGCCCCTCTTCATACTGATGGTGGGCCACCTCAGAGGCGACCCTTACTGGGTAGGGAGCTCTCATAACTGCCACAGCTTATAGCAGGGATGCATGAACTCCTCAGAATGTCATTAAAAATAAGATGCTTTAAATATCAGTTCAAACATTGATTTATTCCTGCTTCTGGCTAAATTCAGAACTCCAACTGGAGGAGTATGTTTGCTTTTTAATGTAGGATAGCATAAAGCAGTAATATATCAAAGCAAACATGAATCCGTGTTTTACTCTGTTATGAAAAGGCAAACTTTTTTATGATCATAAACTGGTATCCTGGTGCAAAGTAGATGAACTATTCTCCAAGGATGAACTCATGTTTACTTTCCTACCACAGATCAACGTAGGACTTCTAATCTTCTCCCTGGCCGCCTTTCTGTTGCCTTGTTATTTGTTCTTTCACCGAAAAACCCTGATCAGAGAGAAGGAGCATCTAGACACCAACCCTGCCCACCAATCAGAGAAGGAACTCGCTGACATTATCCAATCAGACTGTGGATCTCATCAGAGACGACTTGATGGACATTCAGAACATGGAAACATAAACAATGGGCATCCTATGTAATTAGGCTGGTTTTAGGAACTAGGAAGTTGTTGTTATTACTGATATCATAACCAATATTACCACCTTATTCCTCGACATGAACACCCATAAAATAAACCAAAGTAAACAGATAAAATGATGCAGGTCTAAGAACTACAATGATTCCTATAGCTAGAACTGTTTTCTCCACATTCTGATGGGTTTTAGGTTTTTCCTCTTCAGGTTACATTCAGCAGGTATCAATGTTCTTCACCCCAAATGAATGAAACTGAGGGACCTTAATGGTAGGCTATGTGATGAGCCCATTTTATTTCTTGTTGAATGTTATTCACACTGATTCTGTTAAATTTATCACTAAGCTGGAAGTTTTTTCTGTTAATAAGTTAGTAAAATCATTTTAGATAGGAAGCAAATACACAGATTCACATTAAAACAACCATAAAACAAGATAAAAAAGTAAAAAAGGAAATAAAACAAGACAGCATAAGAATAGTTAATTATCAGTTTTCAGTCATTTATTTTGTGACATTGATCCTTAATGTATGAATAATTAAAGATATAGAGAACAATCTTTTATTTCCTCAATCAGTGGTCCTTCTAACTGTCAGTCATTTTGGTGATATGTTTACAAAAGGCCGTCCTATGTGCTCGTCCTGTTGGCTATCTTTTCTCCGCATGCGCACTTTCAGGCGTATATCTGCGGTTTAGCTACGGTTTCAGAAAGTCATTGAAGCTCACCTTCTCACTGCAGTTCTTTGAAAATGGCAGAGAGTTGTAAGAGAAAAAGTGTCTATGAATTGTTTGAGAAGAAAAGAAAGGCCCTTCGCTGTGGGAACATTAGAGCCGGGTCGAGCTGCTAATTTACGTGACACCATTGAATGCAACGTATGGACGAACACACCATGCCAGTCACTTCTGATCTAAGCTCTGGTAAGGGGAATTCAGACAGATAGTAGAGCGAAATATTAAAGCACACTGACTACCTCCTGGCTTCCTTCCATCTTGCTCTCCATTGTTTACTGCCCTGATTTTGTTTTTTTTAGGTTGTTTTAAGGCTACAGACTGGGATGCTCTGTGTCAGCCACATGGAGAGGACATCAAAGCAATGACTGAGTGTGACTGACTACATCAACTCCTGTGTAGAAAACACCATCCCTACCAGAACAGCTTCCCAGATAATAAAGCATGGATCACAGGTGATCTGAAGGAACTGCTCAACAAGAAAAAACAAGCCTTTAAGAAGGAAGACAGAGAATTAATGAGGAGTTTGCAGAAGCAACTTAAGGTAAAGATCAGAGAAAGCGTGGAGGCATAGAGGAAGAGGCTGGAAAACAAGCTCCAGCAGAACAATATTAGAGATTGGTGGTGAGGGAGGAAGATGATCAAATAAATGTAATTCAAATCAGTTTATTTCTATAGCGCCAACTTACAACATGTCATCTCAAGGCACTTTAGAGCAACAATTCACCCTTAGAGAAAAAAAAAACAGATAGACCCAAAATGCAGAGAAACCATTTCAGTGAGACCAGGGAAAAGGTTTAACAGGTTTATTGAGAAGTTTGGTGGAGATTCCAGTGTTGCTCTGATTACTGCTCAACCGGAACTGAAAGGTGAGGGGAAGACACTGTGGTTAGTTCAGGTTCAGTGGGAAAATAGATTCTGGAACTTGAAGAGGAGGAAGGATAGGCAGACTCACGTTTCCAGAGAATTGGTGGAGTCTTAGACTCCAGTAGGTGAGGAATGTGTTCCGGTGTTTGTCTCATAAGGTGTAGGGTGGACAAGGTTACCCAGAATGCGGTTGCTTGTAGATGAACAGAGAAAACTGACTGCCACTCAGATTTCCTGCGGTACTTCAACAGACTGCGGTGAAGATGAATCCCTTGCTCAGTGTGAAACTCAAACGACTCCGCGGGGGAAAGTGGATCCAAACCTCCGGTTTGTATCCCCAGCTCAGTTTGAAGCACAGTAGATCCTTCCAGGGAGAAAAGGTCCGAAAATCCAGTTTGCTGGATGACTTCCTGCCGAGAGGCAAAGACAAAAATAACAATGTAAAGACTCAGCAAAACTCAGCTTGGCTAGAGTACCCAAAACTGGCAAACACTCCGGCGTCGAGGTAGTGGCAGTCAGCAGCTTAAGAACACTCCGTTAACGAGGTGACCCCTTGCAGGTGTGTGAGGAGGAGAATCAGAACCAGGCGCCGCCTGGTGGAGGAAGGAAGACAAATACACAAAAACACAGATCACTCAGACTGGAGTCCTAACAGATATGCTTGTAAATAGAGATACTTATATTAAATATAGAATATTTCTATAAGATACTGTATAAAAAATGTAGCTTCATTGTAGCCTCATCTGGTCTGTTCCTGTTTGGCTGTGACTCCATCCTGAAGAGAAATATCAGCTGTGCTGCTGCCATCAACACCTTTGTTTCTAGATGTTGGAGCTTGGTCTGTTTTCCCGTGTGGTCCTGTTTCTCTGACTGTGACTAACTGGATGTCCTCTCTTCATGAGAGCTGGCTCGGAGCTCGTCTTTCTGGCTGTGTGTTTCCTGGACGGGGCCGCTTGTGGAGCTGGTTGACAGTTGCCTTTTGTATCTATGCTTCTTTTTCTATGTCTGCTTCTGTCTCCTTGAACCCCTGTAGGCCTCAGCAGATGGCCGCTCACACTCAGCCTGGTTCTGCTGGAGGTTTCTTCCTGTTAGAAGGGAGTTTTCCTCTCCACTGTCACAAGCATGCAATAGACTGTTTTTCCTTAGAAAACTTTTAATCAGTTTGATTGATTAAAGTGCCTTCAGATGACAGGTGTTGTGAATTGGCGCTTTAGAAATAAACTGGATTGAATTGAAATAAGTATAAAAATGTAATTAAATAAAATAGTGTCTGGCAATAAGGCACACAATAAAAGTAACAATGAAAACTAAATTAAGAAGTATGCCTATATCATGTATTTAGTAGATGAAACAGTAAATAATGGCATGGACATAAAAAAGTAGTTGCTTTCAAAGAACACTGTCTGACTCACTGATGTGTGTTTTAGAGAGATGTTGTTTTCTTTGTTTCTTTGTTCAACACCGTATGAGAAATAGTTCACCACATACACATCCACTGATGTTAATAATACCATGATTGCCCCTTTAGTTTAGGGATTTATAGACATGCAAATACCAGCGAGACAGATTCACAGAATATGTTTGTTTTCCTGCAGGGAAACAAAAAGAGGCTAGGTTTCATTCTGCAGCCTTAGTCTGTGTTTGGGCTGGGTGGATGCATGGGTGTGCATGTTTCAGTTCAGCGTAGCTGTGTGGGCTTATCCCCACAGCCCCTGCTGTCATTTTAATCTGACCTATGAATGGTCAGAGTGTTTGTTTTTCATGTTTGGTCTGCTATCTGTTTGGGCGGGGGGGATATTTAATGGGTTAAAAAAAATCTGAAAGCCAGGAGCTTGTTTGTGGAATTTTAGTTTTACAGGAGGTTAACTGGACCCTTTACTGGGGGGGTGGGGGGGATTTACCAACCAGGCAGTTGCCTTCGGCCCCATAAGTTCCCGGGGGCCCCTTAAAACTCTGTTTCCATCTATGGTTAATACAAGTATTCCTTATTGGCGCACATTAATGATGTTTTTCATAAAAATCCTTTCACTAAAATGCCATCAGAACGCTGATAATATTAAGTGTGTCTCAGCCCCCCCTTCAGTGTCCACCATATTGGATCAGTCCATTTGCTGCACATGTTCAGAAAGGTCCAAACAGACAGCAGCAAACCATTTGAAAACAAACCATGCAAAGAGCAGTGTTGCCAACTTAGCGCTTTAGTCGCTATATTTAGCCACTTTTCAGACCCCTCTAGCACTTTGATTTCTAAAAAGCTCCTAGCGCCAAATCTAGAGACTTTTTTCTGCTACTGGAGACTTTGGAGACAACATCTAAAAGCAGCGAACTCTGCTCTCCAGAGCAAGTAGATTGGTAACCCCGCCTCCTGCTCTCCTCTATCTTGTCTGCTGTCATGATTCATGCAGCTATTATTTCATCCAAATGAAAAATGGAGAACAGATAAGCAGATCATGGCTTGTCTACAGTGAAAAGAAGGACTGGGTTATTTACTTTGGCCTTTTTGGAAACACAGGAAGGAGCAATCAGCTAAGTGAGCTTAGTGCTTGGAAAAAATCTTTCATTCCTTTTGTGACCAGAGGCGTAGCCAGAAAATGTTTATTTATTATTATTATTTTTTTCTAAAAGTGTCCTGCCTAGCAATGTGGCAATAAGAATAATTGTCTTGGTGCCAAAAAGAGCCTAACAGATTTTACTTTCACCAGTGGAGCAGTACGGCTATCACCATAGTGTTCCGCTTGTTTCATGAATATAAATTGCTTTATTATAATTATGCAGGGAGTTTTACGGATTATATGGACACTGCAATGTAAGTAGAACAGAAGAGGGAAAACAGAAAAAAAGGAAAAGATGAAAGAAAGAGGAGATAAAAGGGAGATAATGATAAAACATCTTCAGTCTGCTTCATCACCTGCAAAGAGATAAAAAAAGAAGAGCACAACCAATGGACATGGTACAAGACATACAACACCTAGATACTATCGCTGAAGTAGTATTATTTAATCTGACATGTACTCTGTGTTACCTGGAGATATGAATGTGGGCTTTCTGTATGGAAGTGAATCTCTGAGTACCTGGAACCAAAACACCTGTAGTTCTGGGAGTGCACTTGTGGATGTAAAGTTTATCCACAGTCCAAAGTGTATCCAAAGGAATGCTCAATTGTGGTTGTGGAGAGCCGAAGTCCAGCGCCGGGAGACCCAAAGCCCCAGATGCCCAAAGGGATCCCAATAGCGAAGGCACCAAGGAGGGGCCAGCCCAGGAAATCTGGCCCCCACCAAGGGAGGAGGAGCGACAGCCCCGAGGTAGTCCCAAAACCATTGCAATTCAAAAGCCCCCGGGAGCCGCGGGGAAGAGTCCGTGGGCTCCGTCGGCAACCAGCCACCCCTAAGTGAATATGGCTCTTGGCCCCAGGGATCCGAGGCCTTCCTCCAGGCCCACGACTCCCGGCGGCAGCCAGGGAACAGGGGTGTGAGAAGACCCAGATCCTCCCTACGCCTGCTCAGATGTGATGTTGTTGTGTTGCTCTCAGGTGTAATTAAAACTGGGAGTACCAAAATGGGGTGTCCAGCACTGTCAGGTCTAACACCTAGAACACTGCAAAACAAGGAAAGAAAGGCACAGAGTCAGAATTCTTTTTACTCTGCTGGTCTTGAACTTTCTCCTCGCTATTTATTAAAGTCAGCGGGGTCTCTAGTTACACAAACTGAGGTTAACTAAAGTAAAGGGAAACAAGATAGACAATTTATTATGCAGCATCAGTGAACAGGTCAATTTGCATTTAAATGTCTTGCGGTCAAATTATACGAGAACGGTTGGTTTCGTTAAGCTTGAGCAATACTTCCTATGAGTTGACCTGTACTGCTTGTGCAACACCCCTCTGGAACAGTCGTATGTCACACTTTATACATAATAAGAACAAACATTAAGAATCTTATACATAATTATTCCAACAAGCACAGTCCA